GGGGGGGGTAAGTTTTTTTAATGCTCTTGCAACTGCATAAGGTTATATTAGTGAGCTGGAGACATTAAGCATTTTCAGTTTGGGAGAAATTTTGAATTTTGCCCGGGTGGCTGCCGGAGCCTGCTCTAAACGTTTTTAGACCACGAAAGGGTCTTCAACGTGTGCCACTTGCATACGGAACCTCCGAGACTTCTCACCCTTATCCAAGAATGCTAAGTATTGGATCTCATCTACCACAAGATCAGGGGTGTGGCTAAAAGACAACAGTAAGAATGAAAAAGATGTAGAAGTAGAAGAGCTGCTGAAAGAGTCAGGATCTGAGAGGAAGGGGCAAAGGAGATGGGAGTGGGGGGGGGGCAGAAAGTGGAGACGAAAGCAGACGACAGAACATGGTTGAAGAGCCCAAAGGCACATTCGCGCACACTGAGAGTGTGGGAGAGAGAGAGATATATATATATAGAGAGAGACAGAGAGAGAGACAGAGAGACAGAGAGAGATAAAGAGAGAGAGAGAGAGAGCGAGGGGGAGAGATAGAGAGAGAGACAGGCAGATAGACAGACAGACAGACGGACAGAGAGGGAGAGAGACAGAGAGAGAGAAAGAGAGAGAGAGAGAAAGAGAGAGAGAGAGAGAGAGAGAGAGAGAGAGAGAGAGAGAGAGAGAGAGAGAAATACCTAAACATACACTCATGCAAACACATACCAGCAAACAAACACACCCACGCATACACACACTCACTCTCTCTCTCCAACAACATCAGTTGTGGAATCGATGCAACAGTCTGTATGTCTCCGCGATGCTCCTGGATTCTGGTCCGTGTATGACCTATTGGAAAAGTGTGACGATGCGATGACCGCTCAACTGGAGCCTAGCTCGGACGAGGGTAGCTTGCCGGGACCCACACCCGGTCCTGATGTCGTGTGCCCGTAAGTTTATGTTGCTGCAGCAGCTGTCGTTATTATTGCTGCTACTGTTGTTGTAGTTTTTGCCAACTTTGTTGTTGGTTCTTGCGTCTTGCTGTTGTCGTTGTTGTTGTTGCTGTTGCTGTTGTTGCTGCTGTTGTTGAGGATGATGATAATGATGACGATGGTGATGATGATGATGATGATGATGATGATGATGATGATGATGATGATAATGATGATGGTGATGATGATGATGATGATGATGATGATGATGATGATGATGATGATGATCATGATGATATACGGTAGACCACTGTTTTGCGACAGGCTGTCAACTAAACCTGCACACCCTTTAACTTTTCAATCGTATAAAACTTTCCAACTAAAATTGTTCTAAAACAGGATAGTTGCCCAGACGAAAAGTTGCATGGTGGACGGAGTTGGTTCCCTTTGTGGAGAGGCATCTGAAGAGTTTTTCAGACAGATCTGGACGCCTTTGAGCAATTCAATGACAGGACAAACTGACTGTGGTGAAGGGCTCCGAAGAGCAAGTAAGTACAAACTGAATCGTCATCACAGCGCTCATCCAATTTCAACAGTAAGCCCTGCGCGATTAACAACCTTTATACAGCTGTAATCACTTTTGTAACAAACACACATTTTTTCTGGACCTACCGGACTCTCGTAATCGTGAGGTTGCAGGTTTGGAGTATCGATCCTCAGACCCGACGTTACGTCCTTAGGAGAGGCACTTGACACGAATTTTCCTCACTTCCCCAAGGTGAGAATGAGTACCTGGCCATAGACTGCGAAAGATTTTGTCCGTATGCTAGTGGCAGCTTGCACTGAGTAGGGGTCACAAAAAGCTTAGGTTGTTTCGAAATGCTATCAAGTCTGTTTGGGTAGAACATATTATTATTGATTGTAAAGCGCAAGGAGCTTGCTGTTGAGCAGGAATTTGCGCTATACAAATGCTATCTATTATTGTTATTACTACTATTATTATTATTTTATTATTATGATTACTATTATCATAATCATCATTATTAAAGCTATAGACCTGATCTCTCATTGCGTAAAAGCTATCCGGTTAGTTGTTTTCACGTAATCAGACACTTTGCTTGTTTGTTTGTTTGTTCGTTTTGGAGGCTTTCAGGTTCATATTTTTTGTTTTTTTGTGTATGTTTTTTTGTGTAAGTGTTTTATATATATATTATGTATATAT